GGGAGGGAGGGAAGACAACACTACACAAGACACACAAAACTAATACACACAACAGAGAAAGTTGTGCATACTATTCTTCCTGACAACCGTTTTCTATGAGCAGGAAATTAGGGGATATCTGTGTATGGGTCTATGGAGTTTAACATGTAGTATCTCTAGTTGCAACCTGACATGCAGGAAAAATTCATTATACGATCACTGTGCTTGTAAGTTTCTGGGATCTGACTGAAATTCAAGGATAAAACAGTAAATGCTTCCTCAAGCCAAGCTCAGCTCCAGGTGACTTCACACATGTGTCCATGAAGTTTTTTTGGCACAGAGAGAGAAGTGATTTGCCACTGCCCCGGGATGTCTTTTCAGCTTCCCAGGCCTGAAGTTCCCTGAGGGAGGGGTGTGTGTGTCTCCCACTCAAACACTGGTGAGGCTGAGAAAATCACCAGGTGGAAAATAGGAGAAAGAGGGGAGGAAAAAGCAGTAAACATTCTCAGACACTTCTAATTTACCCTTGGCTAAATGATGCTAAAGACTATAGTAACACATACTCTTCCTCACAAAGATTTCCCCAATGAGTTACCATATAATACTTGTTCAGCAATATGTATGTAAGGCAGAATTTTCATATTGGGGGAACAGAAACTGCTTCCTGATGAGCTGCTTGTTGAGTACTGTGCTGATGTCTTTCCATTTCTATTCCGTTTCCATTATGTACATAAAAAGGATAAAGCTGGAATCATCAAAACCCATTCTCTTTTTGTGCTAGTTCATGCTAGTTACCCCCAGTATCGTTTCCTGTGACTCTGGCAAGTTCTGTCCCTTTCATTAGATAGATACTGATAATGTAGATTGTTGACATTAAGTCATCTCCCTATCTCATCTCTTGCCTGCTGTTTATGTCTCTCCCTCCTTCCCTGTTTTTGCCTGCTTTTTGTCCTGTTTTGCCACTTCACTGGATTTTTTAAAAGGTTTATTGATGTTTAATAAATAAACCTCAAGCTATATGTTTTGCCAGCTGAACTGAGTAGTATGTGTGCTTGGGTGCAAACTAAATTGTAAATTATTCACAGTAATTTTCCAACAAATCGAGAGCCAGTTTGGTCTAATGGTTAAGGCTCCAGGCTAGAAACCAGGAGACTGTGAGTTCTAGTCTTGCCGTAGGCATGAAAGTCGGCTTTGTGACTTTGGGCCAGTCCCTTTCTCTCACCCCCCACCCCCCGCTGCAGTTGTATGGGCAAAACCGAAGAGGACA